GGTAGTCAATAATCTTAATTGCAGCTCTTAAAGAAAGATGGTCCATTGGCTATCGCGCATGGTGTAATCTTTACTACACCATGCTATTGCGTCGTGTCTTAATGCGTGGCAAACGGTTCCGCATCTATATATATCTGCGTTTGCTGGGTTCTTACCTTTTCGTTGCGAATAGCTCTCGATTCGGTAAGTGGGCACACGCGAATGGAAAAGCTGTTGACAGGGCACACGCGTACTCTAAGTTTATAAAAACTTTCTAATTACGTCACGCACGTACAACTTGATCGACGCGGCTAAGCGGTCGATCACTGGAAAACTGTGCTGGAAAAAATAGAGTCGGGGTTAAACGAGTTTCCTCGATTGAGGAATACATCGGGGGGAGAGGGTTGTAAACCATCCTACCCAGCCTGCTTCGAGTTCTCGGGCATCATAAGGCTTGATTGGTGAAAACTCGATGGTAGGGTAAAGTTCTATTGCGTTCCAAATTATTGGTCGACGCAGTTTTCCGCAGTTCGGAAATCGCCCTTTTTCGGCCGAATGACGAAGGCGACGCTCACCACGCGTGCGCAGACCATGTGAATTCGTTGACTCAAAGTTCGTGGCATTTGTGGCCTGTGGTAGGGGTACATATTATTGTGCATCAAATTACATAAGGGACTGATTTTTTCTGATGAATGTAGTCCATGTGGCGTTTTTTTTCTCTTTTCCGTACCTTTTTCATGCCTGCTTGTCACAAAACAAAAACCAGACGATTGTATATTTGCTATTTTATTGTTTACACCCGATACGAAATAACGACACATTGCTCTTTTCGATATTTCTATCGCCAACCGTTATATTTCACTCTCCTTTTTCCATTGCTCTTCCTTTTAGGCCGCCACATTTTAAATTGTTGACCTAGCATTGTAATTTGATATCAGGAAAGATATTACACTAAGAGAAAGTGGAACCATCGCTGCATTTTGACTAAAAAAATTAGAAATTTATTGCTACTCTTTTTAAACGTAACTACTCGAAGCTGTGTACTAGGATCGGGTTACAAAGCGTTAAGCCTCAGGAAAAATGTAAATGTGATATTAATAAGAATAAAAAATATGTTTTGTTATTTACAAACTTTTGAACTTTTTCGCTTTGTATTCTCACGTCATGTCAATATATAATAGGTCATTTATTACGTTATGTTCTACAAACGTATTTTACCTCGTACTGCAATCGATTATAGGAAGTATATACAGGGTGTCCCATAATGACCGGACTAACGCTTAAGGGTAGATTCCTGAGATCATTTTAAGACTAAAGTTCCAATACCAAAATGTTGAGACTATAATAGTTTTTGAATTATAAGTGTTTAAAGTTAACTAATCAGATCGTCTAAAGTTGGCGCGCTCAGGTACGGCACAGGTACGCAACTCCTAAAAACAAAAGCTGACTTATCGCCCCTTTTATTAATATCGATATAA